CATTCATGCGTGCATCTTGAATGTACAAGTGTTTGAATGCGTTTATGGCCCTTATTATGAGCTGCATTCGATTTTCGATCGCTGGCTATCGAAGATCGAAAGTGAAATTCGTATTATGAGCTATGCAAGCGTGTCGAAATTTTCGTTGAGTATCGAATTTTCTGTCGAACAGAATTTTGCTTTCGATGGTGTAGCGAAGTGTTAGAAAATTGTGAAAAATGTATGATTTTGTATATGTTTTCTTACATTTTGGCGGCTGGACACTAATTTAAACAATTTTTATTAATTTCATGCAGTTCTAACATCGTGAATACTAAACACAAGCTCGAAAGGCTGGTTTTACTTGTGAAAGAAAATCCCAATACTCTGTTGGCACGATCTCTGGGAACAAAATCGTAGCGCTGTTGATAGTTTTAAAATGTTTTAAATAGATTTGGCTCACATACGCCTCTTTAGATGGTCGGAACTTTTTAATGAATCTGTAGACAAATTTCTTAAATATATTTTATATCAAAATATATTCGAAAGACTAATAAACTTAAACCCTCTTAAACATTTGCTAGTCCTGGCCAGTTTACTAAGCTCTCATCCTCTGACGAATCGTTGAACCAGAACTCGTTGTACTCATTTTACCACGTTTTTATAAACTTGCTTTCTTTTTTACTTCATTTTAATTAGAACAAATTTACATAAATAAGTATAAGCACACTATTTAGTTTGCTCGATTTGTAAACAAAGCTTCTCAGCGGTGAAAAATATACTATTGTGAACAACCTAAACGAGCGAAATTCACAATAGCGCTATTCTTCATCGAATGAGCGCCATAATACCAAATGAAAATTCGTTCGCTCAGCACTTTCGACCACAATCGAAAGTCGAATGTAACTCATAATAGGGGCCTATATAAGTGGAGTCGTACCTGTTGGTTTGTTNCAGGTCTGTGATGCCCTTAGATGTCCTGGGCTGCACGCGCGCTACAATGAAAGTATCAACGTGTATTTCCTAGACCGAGAGGTCCGGGTAAACCGCTGAACCACTTTCATGCTTGGGATTGTGAACTGAAACTGTTCACATGAACTTGGAATTCCCAGTAAGTGTGAGTCATTAACTCGCATTGATTACGTCCCTGCCCTTTGTACATACCGCCCGTCGCTACTACCGATTGAATTATTTAGTGAGGTCTCCGGACGTGATCACTGTGACACCTCGTGTTTCACGGCTGTTTCGCAAAAGTTGACCGAACTTGATTATTTAGAGGAAGTAAAAGTCGTAACAAGGTTTCCGTAGGTGAACCTGCGGAAGGATCGTTATTGTGTTCCTATCCGTAACAATATATTATTATATATACAATATATAATAATAATTAATGTATATGTATATATATATATATAAAGAAAAAAATAGAACACTATATTTTATATATAAAACACAACATACTTAACTTGAGTTTTCTTTTTGTTCTTTTCATTCAATTTGTAAAATAAACCTTTTGTTATTGTTATTAAAATATATACATATAATTAATAATAATATATAACATTGTTTAAACAAGTTTGAATGTTTTTCTTTTTTTCTTTTCATTTACTTACCCTTTGTAATGCATCAAGGAGCGGCGAGCGAAAAGAAAACAGTTCAGCACTAAGTCACTTTGTCTATATGGCAAATGTGAGATGCAGTGTATGGAATATCTTAATATCTGGTATGAGAAATTAACGATTTAAGTTCTTCTTAAATGAGGCCATTTACCCATAGAGGGTGCCAGGCCCGTATAACGTTAATGATTACTAGAAAGATATTTCCAAAGAGTCGTGTTGCTTGATAGTGCAGCACTAAGTGGGTGGTAAACTCCATCTAAAACTAAATATAACCATGAGACCGATAGTAAACAAGTACCGTGAGGGAAAGTTGAAAAGAACTCTGAATAGAGAGTTAAATAGTACGTGAAACTGCTTAGAGGTTAAGCCCGATGAACCTGAATATCCATTATGAAAAATTCATTATTATACCTGTAGTATTAATTTTATTAATATTATAGTGATAGTATGCATTTTTTTCATATAAGGACATTGTAATCTATTGACATAATAAAATATTANGGTTAAGCCCGATGAACCTGAATATCCATTATGAAAAATTCATTATTATACCTGTAGTATTAATTTTATTAATATTATAGTGATAGTATGCATTTTTTTCATATAAGGACATTGTAATCTATTAACATAATTAAAATATTTATCAAAAGATCATTGGTTTTAAGTTTATTCAAATTAATTTGCTTTTAGCTTATTAACATAGAATAAATACTAATGATTTGATAAAGTGTTGATAGATTTTATTGTATATAATGCAAAAATTCCTTGGAATTTTACAATAATTTTATAATCANAATGCTAAAATTCTTTGGAATTTTACAATAATTTTATAATCTATGATTTTAATATTTATTGTATGCATTTATATGATTAACAATGCGAAAGATTCAGGATACCTTCGGGACCCGTCTTGAAACACGGACCAAGGAGTCTAACATATGTGCAAGTCATTGGGTTATTTTAAACCTAATGGCGTAATTAACTTAACTATTAATATTTTAATGGGATTAGTTTTTAGTCTATTTTTAATAGTCTATTAATTCAGTCCCGGGGGGGCGTTCCATATAGTTATGTATAATGATAATTTATTATTATTTATACCTCTAACTGGAGCGTACCTTGAGCATATATGCTGTGACCCGAAAGATGGTGAACTATACTTGATCAGGTTGAAGTCAGGGGAAACCCTGATGGAAGACCGAAACAGTTCTGACGTGCAAATCGATTGTCAGAATTGAGTATAGGGGCGAAAGACCAATCGAACCATCTAGTAGCTGGTTCCCTCCGAAGTTTCCCTCAGGATAGCTGGTGCATTTTAAAATTATATAAAATAATCGCATCTGGTAAAGCGAATGATTAGAGGCCTTAGAATCGCACCGACCTTAACCTATTCTCAAACTTTAAATGGGTAAGAACCTAACCTTTCTTGATATGAAGGTTGAGGTTATGATATAATGTGCCCAGTGGGCCACTTTTGGTAAGCAGAACTGGAGCTGTGGGATGAACCAAATGTAATGTTACGGTGCCTAAATTTACAACTCATGCAGATACCATGAAAGGCTTTGGTTGCTTAAAACAGCAGGACGGTGGACATGGAAGTCGTAATCCGCTAAGGATTCCGGTGGCTCCGAAACCGGTGGATACATATTCGCTGGTTGTTCAGGGGAAGTCGGGTCAGTCCTCTAGTGAGGTCTTAAAGAAGGTGGTGAATGAGGTGGGGCCCTCATTAAGTGTGAGGGTGCATGAGATTAAACCTCTAAAGGGAGGCGGTGCGATTATTTGTACACCTTCTGTCGCGGAGCGGGAGAAGGTTGCGAAGAATACCCTCTTCTCTGGGGTGGGGGTCGATGTCAGCATCAGGAAGCAAGGAACCAGGGTTGTGGTTCAGTCGGTTCACACTGAGTTAACCCCCGATGAATTCATGGGGGAATTGTACAGGTTGAACCTTCAAGAGTTCAGCCCTGGATGCCTGGAGAAGGGCGTAAGGATGGTCAGCCGTCCTTGAAAGACGACTCCGGATGGAGTAACAAATGTTGTCTTGAAGGGTACGGACAAGTTAATGTCCGCTCTCCTTGATGCAGGCCGTTGCTACATCAAGTGGTTCTTGTTCANGAAGTGGCTCTCGTTCCGAGTACGGCCGGATTTGTTTGCGCCCGCTTGCTCCGGTGCATGGGCTTCGATCACCGTGTGGCCAACTATAGGGCGAAGAAGGAGGTCTCTTAGGTGCGGGCAGGAAGGGCATCGTATGGAGTGGTGTGAGAATGCAATGCATTGTCGCAACTGCGCCTTCAGGGGAAAGCCGGCTGAGCATCTTATGATGACAGCCGCTTGCCCGATTTATGGTGAAATTGTTGCCCGTGCGCTTGCCAGACAGATGGGTAAGGTCCTGCAGCTCAATTGTCGGGGGGCTTATTCAGTGATGTTAGAGGAGGACTGCGGCATAGCTCTGCTCCAGGAACCTTATGCCACACATGATGTGGAACGGGGCCTCCCTGGTGGCTTCAGGGTCTTCACCGACCGTGGGGCCTATGCTGCAGTTGGGGTGAATAACCCGCACTTAGAGTGCGTGTTGGTAGACTCGTCTGAGCTAGGGGTAATTGTTAGTGTAGAGAGTAGGTTCGGGAGGCTGCTCGTCAGCAGCATATATTGTAAGTTTGGTGAGTCATTGGAACCCTACCTCGTCTACCTTGACGCGGTGCTACTTCTGGCAAGTAGCAGACCTGTTGTCATCGGTCTAGACAGCGGGGGGAGTCGTTAGCAGAATGGGTGGCAGTAAACGAGGTGGCCATTCTTAATGTCCCGAGCGAGTGGTTTACATTCGACGGTCCAATGGCAGCCAGTAGGGACTTCAGTTTCGACTGGAGAGTTAGGGGTGGATGGGGTATAAGTGACCACAATCTTATTGAGATTGTGATCTCGCCTCATACGCCCACAGGCAGGGTTTCTGGATGCCATACGAGAAGGTGGCGTACCATTGGTGTTGTTTGGGACCGATACGGTCTTCTTGCCGAAGAAGCTATGCGGGAAGTACCTCTGGGCGATTTTGCGGACATGACTTCAGATGAGCAAATTGCTTGTCTTAACGAAATCGTTTGGAAGGTGAATGATCGTGTGCTTCGTAGGTGGGAGCCGCCTAAGCTTAGGCGGGTGAGGTGGTGGTCCAGAGCGCTCAGTGACAAAAGGAAGTCCGTCCGTCGCTCGAGACGCCTTTTCCAAAGGTGTAGAAATACCAGGGGGGGAAATCTGTCCCAGCTTAGGTGTCAGTATAGACAGGAAATGAAAGAGTATAAGAAGCTAGTCAAGACCAAGGAGGATGACTGGCGTAGGTTTGTTGGTGAAAATAGGGACGATCCTTGGGGACAGGTTTATAAGATCTGTCGGGGTCGTCAAAGTAGGGAAATCACTTCTCATCGCGTTGGTAACACTACGTTGTCAGCGTGGGGGGAGTGGGCTCTGTTAAGAGCGTTCTTTCCGGGGGCGGAGGTGCAGGTACCTTCTGCACAGGAGGCGCCTGTACCCCCGCTAGATGATGAGGACCTGGGGTATGCGTTTGGCCTGGTGAGGTCTAAACGGTCTCCAGGTTTTGATGCGTTGAACGGAGAGATGTGCAAATGCTTGTGGAAGTTCATCCCGGAATACTTGGTGGCCATTTCTGATAAGTTCATATGGGAGGGTTATTTTCCACGTGAGTGGAAAATTGCTAGGATTGTTCCTCTCCTGAAGTCGCCTGATAGGGTCAGGAGTGATCTTGCATCTTATCGGGGTATCAGCCTCCTTCCAGTGCTTGGAAAAGTGCTGGAACGGATCACGGTTGAGCGGCTTCGGGAGTTAACGCGGGATAGTATATCCGACATACATGTATCCGCAGTATGGCTATGGCTTTAGGAAAGGACGCAGTATAGATAGTTGAATGTTCAGAGTGTTGTACGGGGGAGTAACAACAAATATGTTCTTGGCATATTTGTTGATTTCAAGAAGGCTTTTGACTACCTACGGTGGGACAGTCATTGAGCGCTTGGAAGAGTTGGGATGTGCAGATATGGCTCTCTGGCGGAGTTATTTCTCTGATCGCAGAACCACTGTTGAGGTCGATGTGGCTCGTGGCTGTCCGCAGGGGTCCATCAGTGGTCCATTTATTAGGAATCTTATGATGGATTCCCTGCTTTGGCAGCTCGAGCCAGTCTGCGGCNTTGGAAGAGTTGGGATGTGCAGATATGGCTCTCTGGCGGAGTTATTTCTCTGATCGCAGAACCACCATGGTTGGTGTTGCGGGGACTGTTGAGGTCGATGTGGCTCGGGGCTGTCCGCAAGGGTCCATCAGTGGTCCATTTATTTGGAACCTTATGATGGATTCCCTGCTTTGGCAACTCGAGCCAGTCTGCGGCTTTAGTGCGTACGCTGATGACCTTCTCGTTTTGGCGGAAGGAAATTCCAGGTCAGACATTGAGAGGCAGGGAGAACGGCTGCTTGATATCGTTGGTAGCTGGGGGCAACGTATGGGTGTGGACATTTCGGTTGGCAAGACGGTGACAATGTTGCTCAAGGGCAAGCTATCGTTGGGACGTACACCGGTGGTTCGCGTCAACGGGGTCAGTCTTAGATATGTGACACAAGTCAGGTATTTGGGGCTGACCATCGGGGAACGCATGAGTTTTGCTCCCCACTTGGTGTGTCTTAAGGAGCGCCTTGTTGGCGTTGTGGGAATGGTACGTCGCATCCTGAGATGTGACTGGGGCCTCGGCCGGCGTGCTGTTCGTGCAATCTATCGGGGCCTATTCGTGGCTTGTGCTAATTTTGGGTCCGCTATTTGGTACGAAACAGTTATGAAGGTTGCAGGTCGCCAGAAGGTCCTATCCTGTCAGAGGGTATTGTTGCTGGGTTGTCTTCCGCTGTGTCGCACTGTCTCTATNTGGTACGAAACAGTTATGAAGGTTGCAGGTCGCCAGAAGGTACTATCGTGTCAGAGAGTATTGTTGCTGGGTTGTCTTCCGGTGTGTCGCACTGTCTCTACGGATGCACTTCAGGTATTAATGGGAGTGCCTCCTCTTGACCTGGTGGTTATAGCGCGAGCTGTTACCTTCAGGATGAGAAGAGGCATGAACATGTTGCCGTTGACTGGGTGGATTTCGGACGGTGACTTGGAGATATCTTGAGTGCAAACGGTTGTTGGATGACAGAATGAGTGGAAGAAAATCCAGACTTCGGGCATTGCTTGAGTTTGGATTTTCTACTGACGGGGCACGGTCCTCTTAATGCTTATTTGCATAAGAGGAACCTCCATGACTCTGAGGGGTGTGAGTGTGGAGCGGAGCTTGAGGATGTCGAGCACGTGCTTTGCGAATGCCCGAGATACTCGGACGTGAGGAATCTAGACAGCATGGGGGTAAAATGGACGGATGGACGGTACGACTTCGGTAGTACCCTCTCCACACATTTGACGGTGACGAACTTGGTGGATTTGCACCGGGTAGTTTTTAGAAGGCGAAGACGAGTCGAGTAGTAAGGTGGATGGGGTGATGGCCACCAGTCCAGAGTTGTATGGTAACTCAACTGGTAGTGGCTTCGGCCACGAGGTCTGACCGGAGACTTAATTCTGGTACCACGGGGAGCAGTTGCCCTTGGAGCTTGCTCCAATCTGCTCGTGCGGCTTGGCCCTACGGGGAGTATCGTGGTGGCTGTGGTTTAAACCCAAATGCGGGGAGAGTCGTGTTGGCTCGATTTGGAGTTGCATTGCAACCGGGTGCCGGACCCATAGCACGGCA